TCTCCAAGGGTTTAGGAGTTATTGAGGAAAAACGAAATTTTTTTCCAAAAGTTCGCCGTTTCGACGCTGGGATGGTCGGATTTTGTCAACATCAATAAAATGCCGATTAATCATACTTAACTCGCTAAATACTGTTAGGTTAGGAGAAAAATGAATAGAACCTTCTTTGTAGAAGCCTAAGTTACATTTTTTGCTTGTATTTCTTTCATTATAAATATTCAGAAATTAGTTTTTCATTGTTGGATGACATTAGATATTCTAACAATAGGAATTCCGAGTTGTCGGGTGTCCCCTTTGCAGTCCCGAAGTTATCGCGACGAGACAAAAGGAACGTCGAATCCTTCGAAAATTGACGCCCGGAAACAAAGGTAAAGGACGAGCATTCCGATTTCTCCGTCTTCGTCCCCTTTCATAAGAGTGGGTGGCGTGTAGGTGGTGCGAAGGGGTCGAATTGGTTCCAGCGGATGACGCGTGGATCCACACGTCTTTGAAGAGCGAACGCGCAACACAAACGTTTCGACGTCGCGGCCGCTCGCTCGCGCGGTGGAAAGGGGAAAGACTGATAACGTTTCCGGGTCGGAGGGGGGTGAAACGGGCACCGGGACTTACAAAGGAAGGGAGAAAGACGAAATGGGTTCGGAACAAGGAAATCGAAGAATGACGACGACGAGAGGGAGAGGCAAAAAAAAAAAAGAGAGTACGTGAAAGACTCGCATAACGATCCCGTTTAAGAACCCTCCCTCTTCCGCGAGACGAACCCTTATCCCGTTTAACTCCTAGGCGAGCCCGAGCGAAATACGTAAGGGACGACCATGCTCGGCAGCCACCCAACCCGGGCAACCCCCTCGCCCCGTCAACCCCGGCCTCCCTACCCGGACGGAGGACAGCATTTGCAAAACTCCGACGCGTATAATAGTAATTATTGTCCGCGGATACTCCTGTCCACCCCCTCTCGCCGTGTTCCAACCGCCTCCACCTGGCGTGGCCTCCCCTCCATCGTCCATGGACAGGGTGGTCCATGGTCCACGCCTACCCAACATCCCTCTGGATCCCAGCATCCCAGCCACGTCCGCCTTCCCCTCTTCTCTTCTCCTTTTTCTCATCTTCTCGCGTATACCCCTCGGAGTTCTCTCGCCGCTCCGCGCCACCCGAAGAACGCGCCGGGACGAGAGAGAGAAGTCAGAGCTAACGAGACGACGTCGCCGCGGTGGGAGGAATGCTAAATAGTCCCCGTGCATGTATACATACTGCCGATCTCTCCTGTCTCCACGCTCCCTCTCGTTTTTCCCTCGCGGTACCAACGTCCTCACCTCTTTTTCTCATCCACCGCCGTCCGTCTTTCTCGCCTCGACGCGCACCCCCACTACGCCAGCTTCCCCTCTGCGCGGCACAGATGAAGTAGCCTGACTCCCACCACGGATACGCGAACCGCGAACCTCCACGAAAACGACCGATCGCTGCGATTTCAGTCTATATACAGAGGCTTGGTGGGAAAATTATTGTCGGTTTTGCAAAAAGAAACTGCTGCTTAAATTAACTCTTAATTGGATCATTAAACTTGTCTCTGTGTGGAACCAACAGATGTTTACTATGCGGGGAGAGAATTGTCCATTAAACTCTAATACTAATTGTATTCAGTATGAAGAAAACTATGTTAAAATTGATCTTAATTAAATACTTCATTTCGTAATACTCTTAATTATTGCGAATATTTCTCACAGAAGAACGATGTCTCGCGATATCGATTACGCTTGCTGTACTCCGGAAGTCACGTGGCACGCATCGATGCCAATAACGTTTCACGGTGGAAGAATAAGTTGGGAGATCGGTCACGAGTGGAGACTCGGATCCATTATTTATTAATGTCTACGGCGGAATTTGCCGATCGCGGAAAATACGGCGAGCACAGAATTAAAAGTTTCACGGACGATTTGAATTTGTAAACGCACGGAAAGCTCTTTCGGCAGGAAAGTTACCGGACAGAGTCCGCGAGATTTTTCAAACTGGCGCGGCGCGTAGGATACTCGTTGCCTCACCGATTCGAAATACATTTTTCACAATGGCAGACGTTGATCGAGTGCGTCCTAGAAAAGTAATACCGCCATGAATTGTCTGCCGAGTCTAATCGACCGTGACTCGACCAATTCTTTCGTTAACTTCACAATTAAAAGAAAGATAGACTACAAATATTTATCTACTATAAACATAAATTATCTAAAATGATCTATGCACTTTAAATGAAGATGCAAAATTCGTTTCACGATTATCACAATTCTGTCCATAAAATAACAAGAAATGTTTTTGTGTACGATTTCTAAACGTAACTATTTGAAGCAATATCGTAACGAGATTCAGAAATGTCCCCTACTTTACGTCGTTACGTTCGACTAAGTGTAACTCCGTATTTTAATAGAACGTGGAACTCTTCGGAGTACGACCTGAATGGATTAATGAACCGAGTGACATGGGATCTGATTGGAGCAACACTTAAGAAATCCGTCCAGTCATCCCTGCCTTCGTTTGTCGTTCTGAACGAGCTGAACGACTGACTCCGTCCTGACCTTTATCCTCCTTTGTATTTTTAACTTTCCTTGTGCCATCCCCTTCTTCCTCGGGCATCGTCGGTCGGATAAGTTCTCAAACTCGTTAAAAGCACCCGCTTTGGGCATAATTATCTGGCGTACGTAAGAAAATCGGAATATCAATCTCTTGCCACTTTTCAAGAAATGCACATTACCAACAACTCTCGAATTACAATGGAAACAGTGAGAGAAACTAAGAAAATGAAACGCGATTCACGCGGTTGAAGGTGTATCCTCTTGCAATACTGACTTGGATTATTTGTGCGTACGACGAAGAAAAACGAAGCGGGGGATAGATCGCGGGTTAAAACGGTGAAGAAAATGAGAAAGAGGTACGTGCACGTATCGAGAGCCACGGAGAGGCAATCCAGCAGAGCCAGCCACGAAACTGAAACGGGGGATTTGCAAACAATAGGCCCGGAGCGGGGTGAATTCTTTAGATGGCGGCTTGATACGCATCGCATTTACATATTATTGCTATTATTAGGTAAACGGTCCTCCGAGCGCCTCTTTAACACTACGCGCTCGCCCTTCGAGCTTATTTTACGAGCGACCGCGAGAGGCGACCAAACGATAAAAGCCGGGGCCGTAACATAACTGAGCCGGCGCATCCATTTCCAGGATACTTGCACGAAAATCTGCACGCCTATTTCAGTCTTCCCCCTTTTTATATATCGTCTCTCATCGAGTTGTAAAATCGTAGATATTCTTTTTTCCTTATGTATTTAATAGACAAGAGATGTTGAGACAATGAACGCACGGCTTTAATTAAAAAAAAAAAGCGACTATTCACGGAAAGGCACGCGTGATTCTGTTGCGTAAGCATAGGACGTAAAATTGTGAAAGATTTTAAAAGCTGGCAACGCTGTTGACCACGCGAGGACTTCTCTAGACCGCTTGACGCCGCGCCGAGTCGAAATTAAAGACGCGGCTTTGGAGGAAAGTAGGGGGCCCCCGACGACGAAGACGACGACGAAGCCGTGGAAGGCAAAAAGGGCGAGGAGAGCGATCAGGATCGCTCGATAAAACAGTACGACGTTGGAAGGCATCGATAGACCCGGACCCGAACGATTCTCCGTGGGGAGAAACACCGGGGATCGGCAGAGGACGGTGAACGAAACGAGTACCTGCGTACTACGTACACAATGGGGGCCCGGGAAGAGGAGCAAAAGCGGTGAATTAATTGTCGCTCGCGCCGCCGACGAAGCCGCCACGATCCGCAGCCCTGATTTGTGAGCCGCACGCGTGTATATTGTATGTGTATCTACCCGTTTCACTATCTCTTCTTCCTTCTCTTCCTCGTGCACGCTCCTCTTCCTCCTCCCTTTCCATTTCTTTCATTCTTCTCCGGTCGACCGTCTTCGGCGCGCAACAAGGAGACCCGTGTACGGGTTATATGCGCGACCATGGTGGTGGAGACTGACAATGGAAACAAGCTCGAAGGTACGCCGGAGTAAACGGACCCGGGGTGCAAGGAAGATACGGAGAAACGAGTAAACAAAAGCGAGATGGTGAACGAAAAAGGATGAGTAGGACGGATGGGGGAAAGAGAGCTGAAATCGTCAATGGTAAGAACAAGGAACAAGGTAGAGAAGCAAAGATAACTACGAAAAATGCAGCAACCGGGTCTCCGTGTCCTTACCACCTCTCTCTCGTCCTTTTCTTTCGATCTCCCGTGTGTTTTTACCCTCCTCGTTCACCTACCATCCTCCTCGCTACGTCCACTTTTTTTATTTTTATTTATTATTCAATAGAGGCCAGGAGGTGCTCGTTAATTGATGGCACCGGCTATGGGCAGAGGTAGAGCGGCTGGGGAGGTAGAAAAGTCGAGGTGGGCCCGCGAGAAAGGGGACCACGGGGACCACCGTCGCCTTATTTATAACGCTGGGGGTAACCGAATTCACGATCAAAATCCCGCGTTCCGCGGCATTGATGGATCGCCGCGGCGGCGCTGGTATTTTCAAATGAAACCTGCCCTTTTCCCCTCTCGCGAGACCCCAACCACCCGAAGATTCCCTCCGAAACGGGCGCAACATCGAATTTCTGGGCCGAGTTATAAACCGCGCCTCAAACGGGCGCCGAGCCGTTCGATTTCTATATGTATGCAGCTGCCTTTCATCGATCATGAAAGCTCCGTCGAACCGCACAATGAGATGTTGAAATATGTGTTACCGTCGCGCTGATTTATTCCTCTCGCCCTCCCGTCGCCGACCTCGCGCACCACCGCACCTCGACGTTTAACAACTTTATGTTGCGATAAGTTACAGTTACAGACAGAAGTAGCTCCGTGAATCCGAGTATAAGAGCCAAACTGATAGATTCCGTTCGAAAAGACTAAATGTCTGAATAACTAAACCGAATACGTTAAAAACGTCTGAATCAAAGAATGCAAACAACAGGAATATGCGATTGTTTCAGGCTACTCGGCCGTGGTTCCATGCACGTCTTCTCCTGCGAACAGTTTCAGAAGTTGATGAATGTGAGCGGTTTTTCGGGGCCGTGGCACTCGTTGGTGGATCTAGGAGCTGGCGATGGTGCCACCACCGCGCACGTTGCTAATCTCTTCGAAAACGTTTACGCTACGGATATATCAGCCCCGATGAGATGGGCTCTGGCGAAAAGGAAATTCACGTGAGTAACGTGCAGCGTCTCGTACAAATCGCATTCCTAATAAAATTAAAGGACTTCTGTTTGCAACTGGTAAATTAATATCAATAATCGTGGTACACGGAATCTTACACATTTTTCTTTATTTTTATTATATCGTAGTGCAAAATAATTCCAATCACTGCTTTTAACTTCATGTAAAAAGACCAGATTAAACAAAGTGTGTATTAGAAGGGGTTGGTTTGTATAGTATAGAAACATAATTATGCATGGGTGCTCCTTAATAGTAGTCGAGAGTTGCAGAACCTTTTTACGACGCAATGTCGTCAAAAGACGACGAACGTTCGTAACGGATATCATTTCGCGCCATTAACAGATTTACGGCACCGGATTGATTGGAGTAGAGCTTTAAATGATTTTATGTCCCGGCCTGTCTCGACACGCTTGTTGCATTTAGATACAACCCAGACTGTTCGAATTTGAAACGAACGTACCTGCGAGGGTACAATGCTTGACGTTTTATCGAAATCCGTTTGCTCTTTTCCAGACGAATTTAATACCCCTCTACCGTGATCTTAGGCGCGAACGAAGATCCTCTACTTAGATGAGAAATAGCAAGAAAAGTACGTGTTGGCTCCATGATTATTGTAGTAATTAGAGACAGCTGAGAACAGCGATAAAAGAGTAACGGTGTTACCACGTTATTGATTTGATGAACACTGAGGAAATGATTTTCAATAGAATACTGACTCGTATACCGAACTCGTTTATCTACGAGCTGTGAAGAAGAATAACGTTCTACATTGATCTATTTCTTTAGGGTGCTCGATGTGGAAAAATGGCACGAGACAGGTCCGTACAATGTAATCCTCTGCCTGAACCTGTTGGATCGCTGCGATCGGCCTAACACCTTGCTACGGCATCTGAAATCGTGTTTGGCTCCAGGTGGCCGGCTGGTTGTAGCGTTGGTCCTTCCGTTCAGCCCCTACGTCGAGGTCGGCGAGAGGGGTGATCACAAGCCATCGGAGTACCTGCCGGTAAAGGGGAACGGGCTGGAAGGTCAAATCGCCAGCATCGTCGACAGAGTTTTCGCGCCGTTGGGTCTGAGATGCCTCGTGTGGAGCAAACTGCCGTATCTGTGCGAGGGTGATCTCGGCCAGGCGTATTACTTCCTCGACGATGTAGTGTTCGTTCTAGAGGCACAGCCCGTTAGTACAGTATCTCGTGAATATTCGTTTGCGAGTCGTTTTTGAAAAACACCGCGTCTCACGAGTGGAAGCTTTTAGGAAAGCTCGCGATACTCGGCCTCCGAATGGACGGACACGGGTCCGACTGGACAGGGCGCGGAGCGAGGACAGGCTACTGATGGTCACGTTCAACAGGAATACAATACAGGCAAGTCACACTTGTAAAAACTTTAATGATTGCTGTTCATCGGTTAGAATTATGCGTGAATACAGGAGAGCAATACTGGCAAGCGACAACGAGAGCTTAATGTGCAGATACAGCGGTAGCGTTTGGTGTATTATAAATTCATCATCATCATCATCATCATCATCATCATCATCATTATCATCACCATCATCATTGTGTTCGATTGTTCGTTTACACTATCGTATAAACGACGACGGTGCGCATCTTACAACGATCAATCTTACTGTGAAAAAGTCAAAAAGGTGCAGAGAAACTTGTACACGGTTTCTATTGGTATTAAATATGGCGCGAGAGCGATTAAAATTCGGAAACTATTTCGATTCCCTGAACAAATCATTCACACGTATACACGTACACGCACGCCTACTGACGCTCTTTTATTTGTCTCGAGACTCGGCATTTGTACCTTGTTTTGAATCATCAGACTTTCCGTACTTTCTCTCATTCTCTCTCTCTCTCTCTCTCTCTCTCTCTCTCTCTCTCTCTCTCTCTCTGCCAATCTTACTTTTTTATTTGGCATACATATTGCCGGCTTATAGATATGCTTAGTCGTGTCGAGGGCTCCGACAAGCAAGACAAACAATTATATGTCCACGTTAGTTTTATAATAACTACTAGAAGAAATAAATCGATTGCAGATTCTGCCCTACAAGGACACGTTGACGATGTCTCTGCAAAAATTGATCCGTTTACAATACTCTTTTCTAATAGTGACTAATCTTCTCTGTTCGCGAAATTAAAAATCTAAGAAATTTTCCAGGATATCGTACAGGACATATCAGCCTGGATTCTTTTTTTTTAATTCCACAATTCATTATTTTCGGAACTCTTGTTTTAATATTATCACAATGATACGTCATTAAAAAATGGTATCATTAGGAATATCGCCAAGACATTCTCGTAGAACGAACTACAATCGTTACTCGCGAATATAACTTTGGTGCGTAACAGGTAAGTCGTTGGATTATTCATAGACGATATTGCAGCAGCCTTAATTCTTAAGATCATCTCAATTAACATAACAAAACGGAGTAGAACGGTGGATATTTACAGGACTTAAATTACGGTGATATTTCAGATGCCAAACGTTGCACAATTTGTAACATTCTGTGCGCCCAATGTGGATAAAGCCCGTTAACAGAAACCACGACCTGTGCCACTGCTTTGTCCTAATATCAAGCGTAATCAGAAAACACTGCACAGTAACCGTAGAATCGTTTTGCCCCTAACATTATCAGCAGACAGATGAAATTTAACCTGACAGTAAGTTTCATTAATGAGCTTTATTGATATCCCGCAGCTATTTTTTGTATGATCTCTAATATAGAATAAAGTAAAACTGATTGTGAGTAGAGAAAAAATAGCATAAAGCCCATGTAAATAACTACATGTTTTACCCCTTCCTACTATTTTTAAAATGTTTAAAATATAAAAGATTAGTTCAAACGATATTTTAATGCAAGGGTATAGATTGTGAATCACAGAAATCTGAGCCCTGTTAACAATTGTATCCTGCGGTTATTATAAATAAATATACATGAGTTTTATAACAGATACGATTATCGAGAGATATTTAAAACAGAATCCGTTCGCCACACATTCATATAAAATTTTGCTATTTGATAGCCGAAAAGTGTCTACCATCCATCGAAATCTGTGTACAAACAAGATCCACGCATTCGTACTTATTCCACGCATTCGTTTTACACAAATTTATTATTGTTTATAGTCGGAAACATATAGTATCACTATTCTGATATTTATCGAGCAAGAAGGAAACATTTTACCATCGCAGATATGCGTATAACAATCGAGTTTTAAAACGGCTTTGCTCCTACGATCAAAATAAAATGCATTCAATCGAAGAAACTTTCGATTAAGACAACGCATACTTTCCTCTTCTCATGATTGATCACGACTTTCCGTGATTCGCAGAAGTAATATCATTCATAAGTGATATCAATGCACAGAGAGAAAAAATTTTGAGCATCGGTGCGTATCACGTTTCAAGAGTTTCCTAATAATGCAACGTTTTTTTTTCGTTCTTATATAATAACGAAATAATATGTTTCTCGAAAAATATTTATGAATTGACCAATGATATTTATTTTACGTGCACACCGCGCGCTACTGCCCATGGAGCTTACAAAATTATTTCAAGTTTCGAATATAAACTTGTAATAATAACTAGACGTAACAACAATATAATTCTCGATATACTTTTATAAATAAACAATAATTTATACAATGCAATTTTTAAAAAACTTACATATGTATAAATTGAACAGCTTCTTTAACTGGTTAACATTTCCGCGGTTTCAATCCTTCGAATCGGAGCAATACTTCACATAGTTATACAATAAATATCGTATAAAAAAAGAATTAAATAAAATTGCGAGGTCGAGTGATATAACAAGAATGACGATTGCTTATTTCACACTCCGATATTTAAATTATCAAACTCGTCGAACTTATACGCAGAGCACTTTGCCCAAACTTCGAATATGTGCATATAAAATGTTAATTTATGTAACAGAGAGTCTTTATAATACAATGTTAATTAGGTAATTATTGGAACACAAACGGTGAGCTGTTAAATCAGTGAGTAACAATAAAATATAAATGCCGTTTGACGATATACGCGTTCATAATATATATGCAAATTGTTTAAGAAACTACGGGATAGATAATTCAGAATTATCTATCGCTAACTAAGCCCCATAGGCAGGTCGTGAAAATTCGAAGTAAACTTATTAGCAACAAAATAAAGCTAATTCGAATTTGAAATAACGGTGTGAGTTTCGATTGACTACATATAAATTTTTTTTCACTACCCACGTTTATCACAGTCCACGCATGACTCTTAGTAATTTTTTTTTGTTTTGAAGTCCTAAACGCCAACAACATTTGAGCAATCCTTCGGGTTGTTTAAAATACAAAAACACCCATCTAACCCATAAACACCACATGACTAGGACATCATAGAGCGCAAAGTCAGCCGCTTCAAAAGCGAGAAGACATTATCGTTTAGTCTAGCTTGCGTTGTTCGCATAACTCTTCTAAACCTCCAGTCTTTCTGCGTAAAAATTATGAAACTCCTTATTTGATATCACTAGTCATGTAACGAGGGTATTATAGTGTATATGTATGTATACTTAAAATTATAAACGATAAGAAATATACTTACAATGGTGGTAGATAAGTAGTACCCGTATGATCTAATCGATGTTTGTCTTCGTTTTTCCAGCTTGATACAGGAATATGCGGAGGTGGCAGGAAACTTCTTAGCGACTGTACAAGCTGTATCGTATCCACCAACGCTGCGAACAAAGCCAACGAGAAAGATAATGCAATTTCTATATCATTTAACCGACGAAATACAAAAAGTGTACGTAACAGGCAAAACGCGATGTACGATAACATCACGCATTTATAAGCTAATTTTTTTAATAATATTATATCATGTAAAGCACGCACGATTAATTTATAACGAAAATTTATATATGTATATATGTATTTGTGAACAGAGATTAAACATTAAAACTGGATCACGTAACAGGTCGTATATAATTTTATTACTTTTTTGCAAAGCCTCCGACTGTTTTCCGTACGGTTTGCACATCGCTGGACGTACGCAGGCCTTCATTCTTGCCATGTTCTTCATCACTTCTGCGAAAGCTCTGACTATTTTCTCTTGACCACCTAAGCAATAATGAAATCACAGATATTACTCTTCATGAAGTGCAAAAATAATTTTTATTCGAAATCTGGAACACCCGTTTACAGTATCAATCTACTGACCTTCTGAATTGGAAGATCCTCGAGAACCTTTCTCGTTTTCCAATGGCCAGGCTCCATTGTGTAAAGCTAACAAATCCTTATTCGCGTTTCCTATTCCTTGTAGATTTCCTAGGCCAAGTCCAGTAAGATTGTCCAAATTATCCAAGTTCGTCCTTAAGAAGTCTGTTAATTTATGATCAGACATCGCGATATTAGGTACCAAGGATTCGTAGTGCTGCTTGGCAGCAGCTACTTTTTTCTCTTGGGACGAGGGTCTATGCGGAATATTTAACGATGGACGGCTCGGAGGACGTTGAAGATTCATTTGGTTTCCAGCACCTCTGATCTCTGCCAAATCCGCTGTCGATCCTCCTCCCATATGAGTGTTCGGATTGGCGCTGCTTAAACTCTACAACGCGAAAATTCTACATGTACTACTTGAAACTAAAATCAGAGCTTATCATTGATGAAGACTAATGCTTACTGTTTGGAAATCTGTATTATGAGGAAAACTACTACGTAAAAGAGAAGCTGTCGTTTCATTATCTTGGATATAAGTTGGCGCCATATGTCCCATTTTTTGAGTTAATTCAAGTTGATTCTTATAATAACGGCAAGCAGGATTTGGACAGTTTTGTACCACCTCTATTATAAATTCTTTTTCCATACCAAAGCATTCTCGGCCAATAGTGTAAGATTCCATGACAGCCCTAACTGTGCCCTCTAAGCCCAAATGCAGACCATGCGGACCATTCATATGTTTCAACATCACAGCATTTGCAAAATGTTCATAGGGCAATATTATTTTCCCATTTTCTCTAAGAACTAGCCTTCCCTGAGAGTCCAAAGCTATTCTCGATGCCATCATCCTAATGAAATATCGTGGGATATGTAATGAACGTGTTATAAATTCTAAACAAACAGGACTACGCTTGCATCTCATATACAGTATAAATCAAGCATTCTTACTGCAAGTAAGCAGCACTTGGGATCATGGATGCATCTTTGAATTCGGAGAAACATTGAAGTAGTTCGATGCTTGGATTCCAACCCTTATTCTGAAGATAAGCTTGTAATAACATATACATCTTTTCAGTAACGTAACCAGCACTGCTGGGTGTCCCAGGATAACCAGAACCTCCGCCTGGTGGTCCCATTTCGGTTTGCATACCTTTGGCAACAATGTTTTTCATAGTTTCTGTCAAGTCCATTCTGTGTAAATAAAATCATCTATTTAAAAATATATTTATAAAATGACTTCAGCTAGAAAAATTGTAAAACACTTCAGAAAAATGAATTCCAAAAATATATTGCAAAGTGTAATTTCTTTTTAATAACATCAATGTACAATAGGCGGTTACTTAATGTCAATTAATCAAAAGAACATGATTGAATCTTAGTACGAGGAGGCTTAAACATCGCAAATTAATTTATAGACAATCGTAACATTCGTAGAGATAACAAAAAGAGAGAATGAAATGTTAAAAAAATTAAGATGCACAGTAGCCGTACCGATGCTAATCGACACATGTAATAAAAAGGGGTTCAGGAAAGTGTGTGTAGGTTGCCAGGGTAGCAAGCTTGGCGTTTTAAAAATCCATGCATATTCGAATCCTCCGGCCATTGTTATTTTCATCTCAGGGATGAAGACGTCTAAAGAAACGATTGGAAAAAAAAACACTGATGCGAGCCACCGCCCCCCTTTTAAACAGCGGGGGGAACGAACAGTTTTTGGACACTCACCCCGTACCGAGAACGACTTTTCACTCACACAAAGTGTAACTGGGATCACTTCAGGACCCCTTTATCACTCTAATCGCCGCTACTTGGCATAACCCTCATTAACGATTCTCCTCGCATTTGCAAATAATATAAATCGCGATAATTATTTCCGCAACGATTGTTTGCGCGGTTGGCCGCCAGAGGCGCATTGCCTTCACGATTTTTAACGTATCCACCTACATACGTATATACATATAGGGTGTCTCATTGAGCCCGTTCATCTAAAAGAAAAATTTTCGTTACTACTTATTAATTTAAAAAATTGATAAATATGGAAAAAACACACGATGCGATGAGAACATTTTTTTTATAGACAAATACGTAAAGAAAAAAGAATTCTTACCTTTTTAATAAGATGTTTAATCTTTTGTTGTGCTCATTTCGAAATTAAAGTGTGACAGATTTGATGGGTCACACTGTATATACGTATTATGTATGTATATGGTACATGCATGCACCCACGGCATTTCAGCGCTTACGCGACGCCACTTTGCGCATTTATCAATATTACTTTTTGCAATTTATATGTATATATCGTATCGCCCACGATGGTTTCTTGTATCGAATAAAGAAACGCGCGTAATCATGATTTCAGTTTGCGAACATTTGTAGAAAACAGTATACTGTTTACAAAAATATTTGAAAATATAAATACATACCAGACTTCATGATATATCAGTCATATATTAACGTGTGCTCATTAATACTTTATGTTTCTGTAACATTTGCAACCGCGCTTGCATTAAAACGTTATGTTAATGACTGCTTTTAGATTATGCATGTTGAATTTATCACGTAACTTATTGCATACGTAAAATAGACGTATAAATGCCCAATTGTATACGAGTTAATTATTTATCGTCAACGTATTCTGTGGTATTTTGTTACATATACATATACCCACAGCATTCGTTCCACATTCAGCTGTTGAGTTCTAGTTAGTAAAATTGTTATACATAATTTGCACAGAAAATCTCAAAGAACAAATACGATCTACTTACTTACTACTATGTTAAAGTGCTTAGTAAAAAAAATATAAATTTCGAGTGAGGATATTTAACGATATATGGGAAATGACAAATCGGTCACCTTATGTGCGTGACACAGGGAGCGTATTAAGATTCGTGTGTGGAGAGTGAGAGAGAGTTCAAATTTAAATTGCTCAGAGTGTAGAGTGTAGCCAGCACTTGTGCCAATCGTTAGAGGAAAAAGTATTCCGATGATCGTAAACATGGCCTCGCGGAACAATCGCTCCATTCGGCGAGTTTTAACAAAATTAGAAGCGACGATAGATTCGGGAAATTATTATGAAGCTCATCAAATGTACAGAACTTTGTATTTCAGGTGGGCCGAAAAGCTAATTAATTGTTACCGTCAGAGAATCGTTTTTATGTAATCCGTTAACACGATTGCTTAACCTCTCCTTGCAGACTTCTTGGGCAGAAGAAGTATTCTGAACTCTTGAAATTACTCTACAATGGTTCCTGTATTTTATTACAGCATGAACGAGTACGTAATGTATTTCGTCGGTCTGCCATTTCTTTCACATGTTTTAAAAATTTGTCACCCATCAAAATACATTTAGAGCAATGTCATCATGCACATTTCTGAATGTAATTTGTAAATTTCATTCTGGTGCAATTCGTATTTAAATTCTACTATCAATTACTATGATAAATCAGATTGCCTTGCTATGATACATCATATTTTTGTTGTATGATACATGAGATTTTGTTTTCTTCAAATGAAAATTATAATAATATTGCAGAATATTTCAATGTGTACTTGTTCGATTGATAGTAGGATATAACATTAAGGAACATGTATTCATTCATATTGTATTCGAAGCATATTGCTATATCATTTTTATTTATTGTGACTTATAGCATGCAAGTGGAGCTGACTTAGGAATTTTATTTGTAAATGTTTTAACACAATCAGGGACAGAGCCTTCTGAAGAATATTTTGAAAAGATAATAAACTTGTTTAGTTTAATGAGTCCTTTGTCACCTGAAAGAGATGTATTTGTACAATCTGCTCTCCGATGGAGTATAAAGGCTACAGAACATAAAATCGGTCATCCAGATTTACATCAGAAGATAGCACATGTATTTTGGAAAGGTAATTTATTTAACTGAAGAAACATAGGGTAATCATGTGAAATCAGTGATACACGTAATTCAGATATTACTTTTTTAGAAAAAAATTATCCAATGGCACGACTACATTTCATATATAGTAAAGACGGTTTTGGATGTGCCGAGATGCTTGTCGAGCTTCACGAACAACGAGGCTATACGAATGAAATAGACCTTTTTATAGCTCAAGTAGTTTTACAGTAAGTGCGAATTTAATAGAAGAGAATTATGTAAAATCTATTCAAATGATACTATCAACCTTTCGCAGATATCTCTGTCTACAAAATAAGGCAACCGCGCAAGAAGTTTTCGATTATTACACTACGCAACACCCAAAAATAAATAGTGGTCCCCCATATCTTCTTCCATTATTAAACTTTTTATTTTTTTTACTAAAAACAATCGACAGGTGAGCTAAATTTCGTCTCTTGTTATACTGAGTCGAAACTCGTTAATGAATGTTTTACATTTGTCATTATTTGCAGTGGTAAACTTGCAGTGTTCACGGTACTTTGCGAACAATATCAAATATCTTTAAATAGAGATCCATGCTATCGGCACTACTTAGATAAAATAGGGCAATTATTTTTTAACGTTCCATCTCCGCGGCCCCGTAATCAAGGATTGTTCAGTACACTTCTGCAGACTTGTTTCCATGGTCTTGACGAAGGTTCAGATGATGAACAGAGAAACACGGCTTCAACTTCCCAAGTGGTACAAGAGCTTGACTAATTACACATCACTGTGCAACGTGATGAAAGTAATGAGTTTATATACATATATGTATAATTAGCATCCCACATATTTTCAATGTACGATCTATCCGATCTCTAAAACTTAACATTGAAATTAATTTTCTTAAATAACTTGTACAGATATATATGTATTTAAAGTGTAAGGATATGTGGGATGCATTCTTAAAGAAATTTTTCAAAGTTGTAAGTTGTGTACTGTTCCCAAAAGTCCGACTGATCAGAAGGTAAATCAATATATGAACATTAATGCTGAATAATTCTTTATGCACATGTAGGCGTTTTCTTTTCAATCGTCAAGGTTTATTCCGATATCGCATTCGAGGTCGATTTCCAAATTGTACACACAAAATCTGTCATTTGATTACTACACATGTATTATGAGATTTGAACACAAACTTGAACTTTGAATAAAATCTTTGTACTAATGATAATCGTATATCGTAACGTATATTCAGAGGCAAATGTGTATTTGAGTGTAACTGCTGAAATGAAGAATTATTTTAATATAAACTTAACCGTGTGACAAATAGACGTGACATATACATATTATAGTTGCAGAGATCGAGTGCTTAAACGATGTTACTTGTTGCTAGGATAGTAAAATGGATAAAAACGTTAGTCGTAGCAGCAAGTAAAAAATATTTATTTATCAGACTTTACTAATATAAACTCTGTATCATTGAAAAAATCTTAGCGAGAAAGGGCGTATAATGTCTATTTAGTTATAAAAAACGGCCATTACTCTGTAACAAAGCACCTTTCAATACTAATAAGAATATTGTATAATTGTATCGAATTGACAAGGATAGATAAATGCACGACAAAGGATAAAGAGTTACAATAAGAATACGCGTATACAAATCTGTGTATTCTTGTATAATTACGTAGTATAAGGCAAACAGAATATATATATGTATACATACATTAAAGATTTAATTTTCCATAATTTGTGTGGACAGAAAACGAATTGTACAAATAATCAATGATTTGTTACGTGGCATATATGGTTACATCCTTAATAAGAAATTAATAAATTAAATTTTGTTAAAGAAATAGACTTTCATACAATATCTTGCAAATGTAATTGTTTCCCACGGCAATATTCTAATGTATGGACTTACTTACGTTATCCAAAAAATTCATATCGTACATTTTCAATAAAGAAAAATTAATCCTTACGTAATAATGAAATTTCTATGTATAAAATATTGTAACACTTGATTTAAAAGAAAGAAACAGAAAATCTACAATTTTAATTGAGAGATTTTATTTCAGGTCAGTTTCAAAATGAAAAATTATAAGTGCATCGTTCTAACGTACTGATGGAATTAAAAAAATTAAATAGGATGTAAATTTGTTTTAATCATTTATTCTTTTATTACCTATTGAATTCATACCTGTAGTGCGAAACTGGATATCGAACTATTTGTAAATTAATTATGAATTCATTACAAAAGTTGCCTTGATTGGTAGTTGTACGTCATAAGTTATATAAAATATCAATCACCGGTACACTAATGAATCTTTGTTCCAAAAGTGTACGGCTTCGAACAAAAAAGAAGAAAGTTAAGATAGTTGACAATGTAACATAGTTGAATAAGAAATTGATATTTATTAATGAATCAATTGGATAATTTCTAATTTCAAGAACGATAAGCAACGAACTATAGTGATGGAAATACACATAAGTGCGGACGCAGTACAATATGTAGAATTTTAAAAGAAAATTAGACAAATAACTAGATTATATTTTATGTGCGATGGCATGGAAAAATAAAATACATTAACATTTATGTTTGTACAAACAAAATTATATTTCAACAAACCTTTATTTTGTGTTCAGTAATTTGTACAAACTGTCTTTACAAGTGGAAAACTTAATGGAAATATATAAAATATTATTGATACTCAGTCACAATAATAAATGTATAAGTTCATTAAACAATTGCTAAAGGGTACGAAGTTTATAATGTAATTACGTATACTACGTGTAAGTAATGTAATATTGTAGTTCGTTTAGTCAAACGTTTCTTGTATTTAACTTCTTAATATACCCGTAATATAAATAAAAACATTTTTTAACTAATTTATATCTGTAAAAAAAGTATATAAAAATATATATGTATTTCACACGAGATTCATATATGTATATATTGATTTGATTACCAAATAAACGTGACTTTTAATATTGAAAAATAAGTACGGATAGTAGCATAAGCATATGTATAATGTGGAACGTAATATAAAAATAAATGTTCAATATTCTTTGAAACCAGGAATGGGAAATTGCTTGGAGAAGGCCTCAACCTCTTCCTTCAAAGCTGAAACCTTTGCTTTTATATCTTCATTAGTACTTAACACTTCTTTAAAGTCCACAAATTTAGGGCCAGAAATCTTAGTGACTTCTTTACTAAGCAACAGTCCTAAAAAAGAGAGTACAGAATAATTAGTACTATTTGTAATTTCGTTATACAATATTATTGATATATGAAAGAGATAAATACCTCGGTGTATGAAATCAACAACTTTATCCATGTCTTTCTCAACTAAGCCGCGAGTAGTTAACGCGGGAGTTCCGAGCCTAATGCCGCTACAAAACAATGCACTTTTGTCACCGGGCACGGTATTCTTATTACAAGCAATCGAAATACTCTCTAAAATCTTTTCGGCTCTAGCTCCTGTATGGCCCGCAACTCGTACGTTTACGAGTATCATATGAACATCAGTACCACCTGCACTAATTTTATATCCGAGCTCTTGCATTTTAGAGCACAATCTCTTTGCATTGGCTATAACTTGTTTCTGGTATTGGATGAATTCTGGCGATTTAGTCTGTTTCATTGCAGTCGCGATTCCTGCAACCGCGTTATTGTGGGGTCCACCCTGTAAAGATGGGAACACGGCTTCATTGATCCTAGTCTCTATGTCGTACATAATTTTTTGACCATCTTTTCCAATGCTTCTAACTCCTTTGCGGAAGAAAATGAGACCAGCTCGAGGCCCTCTGTAGATTGTAAGAAATATTACACACACACATTGTTAACAAAAGTAGATATCCTATTATCATACACGTACCTTAAAGTTTTGTGAGTTGTAGTTGATACAACATCGCTATATTCAAACGGGCTAGGTATTAATCCAGCAGCGACTAATCCCGCTATGTGGGCCATATCACTAAATAGATAAGCATTATTCTCATCTGCTATTTCCCTGAATCGCTTATAGTCTAAACATTTACTATAACAGGATACACCCGCTATTATAACCTTAGGTTTAAATAATCTCGCGTTCTCTGCCAGCTTATCATAATCAATTAGACCGGTTTCAACATTCACTTTATATGGCATAGATTCAAAAAATATGGACGTCGCTGAGATTCTCTTTTTCTGAGTGAAGAACCCTAAATATCCGTGTATATGACGTTAGAACGTTCGTGCCTTCATGATAATTGGTTTCTTATCTGAATAGTATACCATGTGTGAGATGTCCTCCATCAGGAAGGTCTAAACCCATTATGCGATCATGAGGGTTGAGTAAACCTGTATAGACAGCCAAATTTGCTGGACTTCCGGAATACGGCTGCACGTTGCAACCCCATTCCTCCGGGTTTAAATTGAACGCTTCCAAAGCACGTTTCTGGGCCAACAATTCAATTTCATCGATGTATTCGTTCCCTCCGTAATATCTGAGTTGAAAAGATTAATCCTTATAAATGATACCTATATTAATTGTACGTAATAATACATTTTATAAACGATGTACCTTTGACCAGGTAAACCTTCGCTGTATTTATTATGAGGACAAGAGCCGAGGCACTGAAGAACACTTAGAGATGTAAAGTTTTCACTGGCAATCATTTCAAGACCACACTCCTGCCTCTTTTTCTCTTTTTTCAGTATATCAAAAAGCTCTGGGTCTGTTTCCCAGATATTCTTTGTCAAAATTCCATCCATACTCTGAATAAAAAGTAAAAATCATATAGTTTACCCATTTACTGAAGTAGTACTTGATAAACATGTACACATGTTGTTGGATATTTCTTATAACTTTACAGGGGGTATTTCATATCAGCTTATTATTCGAGTGATAACCCCGTGTGCAGTATAATGACCTAATCTAATACTATTCATCAACATGCTTTGAATTCAACGTGAATCTAAAGTCAGACTAATTTAATTCATTATATGTTGAATATCTAGTATTTATTAATTTACATGTTTTCTCTCATTAGTTATACTATTTTTTAGCAGATTTTTAATATACTAGTATTAATAATTCCGTAACTAAAAGAGTAATTAATTATTTCATGGCATTATTTTTTAACTAACTCGCATTTAATACGCGCATATTTTTTCAAACACACAATTTGTTATGAATAATATTGTCGTTCGTATAAATAAATAAATAAATTAGATCGCTCACATCCTAGACATAGCACGTGTTTACTGCATAACAATTATCGATAATATTCTTATAAAAATACGTAATTATCATAAGGTATATTAACATATAATCACTAAAAAAGCAATACTTGTTCAATAGGTAAATAAATGATAAAATCACTCACGAGTTTAGAAGAAGCGCAACAGGTGGTTGAGAAGCACACGTTACGATTTGAATCTGAGAAGATTTCTGAGGCATGGCCTTGAACAGCACGATCTTTTATACGACGGATACCAACGATTAGCAAGTTTTCAACCAATTGAAAACCACGCCGATTTAAATTCGCAATCATGACGATCCGTTTGTGTAAAACTAAAATTAAAAACACACAAAATACAAAAGGAAATAAATTCAGTGTATGTTCATTGCGGTCATGCGTTCGATAATCAGTCCGTATATAAAATCACAGCCTTCTGGTTAGACATCAGACGTAACCTAAAACTTTTCACGAAAAGTAACAATATGTAATCAAAATGCATTAATTACAGTGCCGATTTTGAAGCTCACTCAACGTATATACTTTCTTTCTTCGGTTACGTACGAGTCTATCGTAAGTTAACGCATACCGCATTTCTCTTGATAGACCAATCCAGTTGACACATACTTTTATCAAGATTTTCTTGACGTTTGTTTTTCTTATTGCGGTACAGAAAAGTTGAAGTATTTCAATTCTTGCTCTTTCTTTTTCCTTTCATTTGCAGCGATTAACCAGTTTTCTCTACGTATAGTATATCATGTATGTACCTATATGTATATGTACGTAAGATTTCACGTAACATATATTTCAGTTATGTTGCAAAACATACGTATTAGATCGTAGAAGTATAAATTTATACTTTATTCAAACTCAAAGATGATTTTATAATTAAACAGGCAAATGCTGAAGAATTTAGTAATTTATTAAGAGCAGACTAGTTTACATTTGCTTTGTAATTCCTTCATTGATCAGTTCATTGATCCCGTTTCTTTACAGCTACTTATTTTATATTGCTATCCCTTTGCCATTGCCTGTTATTTACATTTATTAACAATTTACAAAATCACGAAAATGTTAACGGAGCTACTAGAGATCCCGGAAAAATTTCTAGAATAGTCCCAATCAGTTACAATCGATGGAGAAATATAATTTTATCCGTATATACATGACCTAAAGTTCATCATCTGTTTAGGAAAAATTATAATTCGATTGTACGATTTGCTCATTTTAGCTTAGCTCAATGACATTTACCTTATAGTATCATTGCAAATAGTAAGAGTATAAATATTTCTCGATAGCTTAGCGAGATATAATTCTCGATATGCTTTATTGAACGTTGAATCTAATTGTAAGCATAAATTGCATGATGCATCAATATCTTGTTTGTTAATTACATGGAACACGTTGCAATGAATATGCATCTTGTTTTGGGATAAAAACTGACATCACGAAATGTCGTTTAGCAATACATAATAAAAGATAACGACATCATAATATATATAATCAAANGCTGCACAAAAAACAGAAACGCGTTGCGATTAATTACAAGCATTAGACTATGTATTCGAAGTACACATCCCTTCGTAGATTATTTATTACATGTAAGTTTGATATTTTCATCCTTTCCTTTTTATTATTATGATACAATAACTTAAGTAATCGTCTTTCGATATAACTTTTCCGTGCAAAAAATACATTAGTTACTATTAAAGTAGTCGTACGTCAGTGATACTATTCATACTATCTTCAACTTGAAAATCATTTGTCATTGCCAGCATTCATTGAGGAACATAATATAATAGAACGTATATGTATATGGATAGAATTCAATGAGTTGATGCATACACACGACAGATTTCTATGTATATATATATATATATATAATATATGATTAATAAAACCTGTAATTTCTGTTCATATTATCAAAATGAAGACCTACAATGTGCAGAACCTCTTTATATTAAACATTTTGCGTAAATTTCATAAAACAAATTAAGTATTACTCTTTTTTTACAAAGAACCGAGAACTAATATTCCACATTTATGTAATTAATTGAAAAATGCGAAGATCGTGCAGTCGGGAATAGTACGTTACTAATTAAACTCAAAATTTAAAAAAATGTATATTCTTTTTTCAATATCTTATGTTTTAATGTTTTTAACAATCCGGCGAAATAGAAAATTAAATGAACAGGTATAGTTATTCGAAAAAAATGATCTAAGAATTCCTTAAGTCTATTTTATAATATATGATAAAACAATTTTGGAAAAGAAAACCGACTGCGAATTGAAATCATTCGTAATGAAATAACATTTGAAAACGCATTACATGATTAAAATTACGGTTTGCAGGTATGTAGTCGAAGTATGTCGCTGTACAATCACATTTAGGTTTATAAAATATTCTTCAATAAACTAGCGTGTGTCCAGTCTTCTTAAATATATATTTACTGCACATCGCGTGGGATTCTTACGTATTTATCACTGCAATTGTTATTCGCCGATGTTGAAAATGCACTCTAAAAAACATAGCATCGTGAAACAATAATTCGTACTTATTTAATAAGAACTACATTTAACATATGATTCGTTTTTTAAATTATGTATTTAATATTGACATAAATAATGATTCTAACCGAGTTTCTTGTTAGCAATCGATAATTCTAATGGGCTAACAACTAATTATATTCAATTAAAAATTATAAATTCGAACTCTCTTGCGTCACGACTCCTAATTCTTTCTACTGTCTGTTTTATTGATTGTAACAAACTAGTCTTTTAAAAAAGTATATTTATTAAAAAAAAACTGCTCATTCTCTTTCAATGATCCAATAGTGCTTTTAGATATCAAGAGTTCTCCAGAGCTTAAAAATTTTAAACATCTCAAAGAAAGACTTTTAATCACAGTTAAAGAAAGAAGAAAATACGGAGAGTGAGACATGATATGAATAATTGGAGGTCTTATAGTAACATTGTGGCAAGTCACCGTGCGCAGACTTTTATACGGCAAATAGAAAGGAAAGTAATTATGAAGTGATGTTTCGTAGAACAAAAAGAAAAATGTGTGATATTGTAAAATTAATCGTAGAATAATCACTCTTCGACGCGTTGCCTTATTTTCTTTCTTTTTTCATCTCGTTTAACTGCTCCGTTCATATGTTAGTCTACACTTTCATATATTTGTGAAATTTTTATAGATGATCTCAGTAGAATATGTACGCGTACGAAAAGTCGCATAAAACACACAAAAAAGAGAATATATATTCACAAACCTAAAAAGCTTCCAGAGTATTCGGGAAGCAACTCAGATATATCACTTGTAAGTTATACCATATAAATGGTGTTTCATAATTTCTTTTTATATAACAATATCATATTCTTTGATTACATTTCCATAAGATCAAGAATCGACAACTACATTTTTTCATTTCCAAGAATGTGTTGTAAGAAATTATCCGTAGTGTGAACGAAACGATAACGTTCACGATTTCATATCAAGGATTCTCTTTAAGATGCAGAATGTAATATTACAAGGTAATTATAAATCTGCATTTCAACCTTGGATTATAAAACCGAAGTACGTAGAAGACAATTCTTCTTCATTGATAATTAGAGTTAAATTATTCGTCGCATAGTAAAGTAGTTTCCGTTTCTTTGGATCTTAATTTGTTCAGTTACAAAGATTTTACGTGGCAGGATCAAGTGAAGTCATTGCAAAAATAATTGTACTTTCTTAATCGGAAATAATATGCTGTGTATTTATAAATACCTTCATTTTTCCAGACGCGAGAGCTTTGTCCGTAGTTGTGTAATTCGTATTTATTTTTCTTAATAACAAATTATAGCCATGCATTTAAGTAAATTCTTGTTCTTTCCCGGAAATTCTTGTTTTAAATATATTATCTGTTAAATAATTGTCACCGAACGGAGCAAAGTATCCACAGATATAAAAATTGATTTCACAAATCCACTGTTAGCGTCCAGTGGAATGAACGCAGTATCGTCGATCCAGCCATTACATAAAATCCCTGTTGATTCGAAAGGGAGAAACTTCCATGATGCATAAAGTATCATCGTGTGTTAATTACAGTCTCTTAAATCGGGCGTATACAAAGGATTTACCTTTCGTTAACACATAATCATAATATTAAAATCGCGCACTATCTGGCCGAAGAACCAAATACATAAACAACACATTTCCAACCAGCAGTATGTCAGGCGTCGCTTTCTTTACTATAGAGTCGTATAAATAATGAGTGGCTGCCTAGTATTTTTTTTATTATTCTGTTCTCTGTGTGATGAAAATTTAATTGTAAATTTTAATGGCCTTTTCGAGGTAGTTGATACGAGAGCGCTTCGGAGCTTTGTTGACGTGTTCTAGGCCAAGCCAAGGCCTGAGCGGCGACGAACCTGTATTGAAAAGTGAATTCTCTAAAAAATTTATCCTTCATCGATTCGTACTTTATACCAGAAGTGCACACTTGGATGACTGTTTACATCATTTCATAAAATTACGTGAATTTTTATTCATATCCATGAACTGATATTTAATGTGTACTAAATGTATTCTATACAATTTATAATATATGAAATACGTATATGCACCTCTGATTTATATTGTAAACTTATTTATTAATTTCTTTTATTATCAACTTGAAATCTCCATTAACATGCAAACGATACCGAATCATTTATCCCAATCTACAAATACTAATATTTCGAAAATAACATTGAATGATTGGATGTTTGTACTTTGCGAGCTTATGCAGTCGGTCTCAAATTTTATTTTTCTCTAGAAAACTTTTTCGGTTCAACATTATTTCGAAATACAATATTAGCATTTCTAGATTAAAATGGATCATGTGTGTATCTATACACATTTGGCCGTCAGTAAGTTTATATTCTGTCTTATCAAACACTTACTCTGACTAGGAAGAATACGGAAATCCGCGAGATCCATGCAGTAGCCTGGAGAGTCCATGATAAAGTGTGGTTTGCCCATCGTCACCACCGCGAACTTAAACTTCAAAGTTTTTTTATGAATTCTCATAAAACATCGAAGAAAATTAGATTAAGAAACCTACCTTTTCGAATTCTTTCTCCTGCACTCCGAGCTTTTTCAAAAGTCTTTCCTTCATTTCCGAGAAAGGCTCGCCCTATGGGGACGAAAACAAGAACAAAAATGGATCGTAACAATTTCACATTCGTTTGAAGAGAAACAAGGACGGGACATCGCGTTGTAAAAATACTTACGTGTTTGATTTTAAAGAAAAAGGGAATACCGAATGTTGAAAATATATCTTTATGGAAATGTGCGACAGGAACCAACATTTCTTCATCTGTTAAATTCAATTCGTCGTTTGGAATTTCTTCTATCCTGTATAACTTTGTGCCAGATGTATTTAAGTTATCTAAAGGTACATCGTCCTTCGGGCCGGGCGAAAGTTTATTAGAATTAATTTCTAATATCCTCAATTTCCCGGACCCGTTCTCTGATAATTCTACTTGCTTTTTAGCTTCTTCGAGCAATGTCGCTACTGTCCCATTTTTATTAGGATAAAGAATAATTTCCTTTTCTTCTTTTAAATTAGGGGCAACCCATATGCACTTGAATTGCTTTTTGTGTTCAAGCTCATTTACTCTAATACTAAGTTGTTGATAATATAACTTCTTCCCCTTCGGTTTACAATACGAAACCAAATCCTTAAGTGAACCTTCAAATGTACACTTTAATGGATGCCCAGGTGAATCTTTATAACTGAAGTAGAAATGAGTCAAATAAATATTTATATAAGCGCCAATTAGTACAATACTAATTTATTATAGTCTCTTACGTTTGACATTTAAAGAATTGCAGGAGATAAGGATCTGTACCAAGTCTCTGTGCTACAGCTTTCGCCATTTGATCGTACGTCATTCTTGAAGATAGCTCCATTGTGAAGCCTGGATCATTGGGGATCGTTTTATCACAAAATATTACTTCTACTCTATGATATAGATCCCTGAAATATAATCGAACAGTTTCGTACCAAATTGTTTCAAGTACATTATAACTGGAGATATTAAAACATTGTCGATACTTACTTGAAGTACTCTCTACATGTCGGAAGCTCGTACATTTGATTGTTCTCTTCTTTTTGAAAAACGATGATATCTCCGTCCATTAGTTCTTCAAGGACCTTCTCTAACGGTTCTGTTAAGTTGTCTATTTTTTCCACCAGGTTTGGCTTGATTTCTTCATAAAGAGCCAACTCCGTGTCCGGTGGGAATCCAGCTCTCTCGTTTAAGATTGGTATAAGTTCCTCTGCACAAAATCGTAACAATAATTATGTTCCATCGTAGTGGAACTAAGAAAGATTCATATTTAAAAACTGAAGGGCATAACGTAAATTCGTTCACAATATGAAATGAAATGACTCAGAGAATGTATAAATATCATCCAGCTATGAATAAATGTCTTTCAAAATCTGCCACATGACAAAAATAGTTTCAAAGATGTAATCACAGGGAAATACTGCCAGGAACATGTCAAATAAACAATTGTAAAATGTAGTACGTAAAATAATACTTACGGACTTTGGCTGTTACAGGCATATAGTGATGACCACAATAATGAATTTTCTTATGCTTAGGATCGTATAGTTTGAAAAATAGTAGAACATCAGTGTCCTTATCAAAAGGTGGTAACGCTGTTAAATCAGAATCCGGTGGAACAAGTTCAACAAATACATTCCAAACATTCGGATTTTCCGCGCATTGGTAAATAGATTTCTGAAGATCATTTTCCAATTCGATCGGCATCGGTCTACATGTCTGATTAGAACGTACGTTTAACGGCCACAAACGGATTTGCTCTATAGGATATTTCTGTAGAAAAAGTTGTGAACAAATTAATTATATTTACACACATATATAGAATATCTTCTTCTTTAATTCAACGGAATAGGTAATTTCGTTTTTAAGTATCCTTTTTTCAATCACCTACCGTGTTCGTAGATGATCACAACAATATAATATATCAAACGCAGACAATAGCACGATTTTTATGAAGAATCACACCGATATTTGAATGTGAAATAATTTAATATTTATATCGATAAAAATTAAGTATCGATACTAACGTAATAGTCTTTTAATGGAATATCGTGATAGTATAACGGCATGAAAAATTTGTCAACACTTACCAAGCTATCGCTCAGCAATTCAAGAAACTCGTGCAAGGTACACTGCTTACGTACGCGAAACACACGATATAAAGCATGTTCTGGATCATACAAGTCATTCCCTTGGTGACCGTCAAAATTATCCTCAAGTAGGACGTTGACGGTTATATACAAGTATGCCTCTGTTCTTTCCTTTCTTCGTATTTGTTCCAGCCTCTTCTCCTCTTGCAGCCTCTCCACCAGCTAGACCAACAAAATTAAAATTATCCATATATGTACTAAATTCGTCTCATTGGTAATTCTTTTTTCCTCATCTGTCTTCTAAAAATTGAAACTTTTAGAAAAGCAGTGTACTAGGCATCATGCTTTTGAGATTCGAGAACAAATAGTATTCGAAACATCAAAAGAATGAATATCATTTTTGTTTTCATTACATAATTTTAATTTTGTTCATCTGCCGCAATACAGACTACTGTGTTAAACGATTACACGATGAAAATTATTTGGCTATAAATGATGGTTTTCATTTATGCATTACTAGAAACTTAAACAACATTCGTATTTATTGCATATCTAAATCTATACATTATGATATTTTAAATTGTCAAACCTATCAAACTTTTATAAGTTCGAAGTTCCTGCAATCTTCCCTACTTGGGATCAATTATATGCTTATAGTAAGCACCAGTAAGAATATATAATCGTCGTAATTTGAAAATGCTATCGTGTCTGTGTATCGAATTACTTTTATAAAATATATGACCATCATTTATACCAGATAATAATAATAATGTAATGTATAACAGTAGTAGCGTGGAGATGCATCGCATTTTAAATAGTTATGCGGACGTTTTTAAGTATTTACTACTACAGAGCTACACTTCCTTTAATGAATAAAAACTGAAAAAGCGCTAACGGATTAACTACTGTAACTTGTTCGTTTACCAAATTGTCTATAGTTATTCAACAGTTTATTGCATACTTTCTTTTCGTTCATTTTTATATCTAAAATAAAGATTAGTATATATAGAGGTACTTTACATCTATTATGAAATATTCAGTTTGTTCATGAGGCATTGAATTTTTTCTATTTATTAATACGTAACAACAAATAAATAGATAGCATCTGTTGGTGGTCATACTGACTATTAACATTGACAAAATTTAATGAATTAACGACTCGATTAATTGATTCAGACCTTCGTTATAAGGTTTAATATCCTAATTTTATTATTAACGTTCATTCAAAGTGTTAATTCACGAGAAATCATAGATTTGATAATAATAAATCACATTTCACCTCACTCACTAAACGATCTTCATTAAATAACAAATACACTGTAGAAGACGTGTTAAGGAAGAAGCTGACATTAATGAATTCTACTTATTGTTCATGTACTCTTCTCTTTTTTTTATCCCACGACATTGTCTATCATGAGTTAGAATCTCATTATCTCAAATCAGATTTTGAATAATCATCTCACTCTATTAACTAATAAGTCTTTCCTGCCTGTTTGTTTTTTTCTTTTTTTTCCTTATAATTATTCACACATTTTCAACCTATTCTGCGATATGTCTGTGCATTTGTTACCCAAAGCTTTAGAATACTACAATACAATTATTCTTTTTTTAGGTATATTATACAATATTTATTACAATAAACATTTCAAAACGATTCTAAGGCTCATCATGATAGTAGCCTGATAATCAGATTTTACGTTAACCCGATTGCAACTTTTCTTTCTTTCTTGTTCTTTGTAGTACCTGAAGTGCAACGCGTACATTATTTATGGCTGTTTAAGCTTGATTCAACTAATATATATATATATAGAGATATATATATATATAAGTATGTATATGTATATATATGTGTGTATATACTCAATATAAAATTTGTTAAATAACAAAAAGAATAAATTAAAAGCATGAATAAAAATTTGATTCTTTTTACACGACTCAATCGTCCACACAAAAAATCCTCTGTCCGAAAATTAAAAGTTAAAATACATTGTCAGTAAAATAAACCTGCGTGTAACACGATTAATTAGTAAAAATCTACTGAGTGCGCACTTTAGACAACTGTAAAATAATAAAATGATCGATCACAATGTCAAAACGATATTTTTTTTCCACGTAAAAATTGATGCAGTACAGATAATAATAATTATTCTGCTATCTTTTTCTGTAATACGTGAAGAATATCAGCAAAGTAATGCGCGCGTAACACTTTAAAAATGATCAAGTGTGACATATTACATACATGCCGTACCTGAAATTGGACACAATGTATACAATTATCAACATTTGATGATACAACAGCCTGCAGCTGATAACGCTATAAATTTCTGGTTATTAAAAAATATTAAGAGAAATTTTATAACAAATATTTGAAAATATATATATGTATGTATATAGGTGCTAAAAAAAATATTAATTTATTAAATTTAATTTGTAGATATCATTTTTCTTTTCTGATTAATTTACATATCCAAAATATCTTGAATCTATTCAAATACACATTTCTATTTCCGTTTATTGAACTCATCTCATCTTTGTATTTTAACTTGATGTAATGCGTTATGAATTTGATGATTTTGTTTTTCTTTCATATGTCCCGCAAGCTGATCAGCCCAGAACATATTTAAAAAATGAGAGTGTATTTTTGTTATCAGAGAAAGAACTCGATTTTGCAGCACATTCCGGCTCTTTTTAAAAATCATGAATATAGAGATTTGGATTTCGAGGATTTTGCGTGCACGGACGAAGAGTCGTGGTTTCTGTATGTGAGTCTTTGATTGTGTCAGTCGCGTCTTTGTCACGTTCAAGGTCGCTCAACTCCTGGGAAAACTCTCTTTGTAGGACGTTTCTGACCTCTTGAGGTATATCCTCTTCCTTGACTTCTTGCAAGACGTTTTCCAACTCAGAGTCCCTTATGTACACCAACATATAGGCGTTCGTGCAATGTTTCACAGCTATAGACATATCCTCATCTTGACCACCATAATTGTGTTCGATAGCTTCTTGTTTCGTACACCTTGAGACAACATCGTCGTCGAACTTGCACCACTGTTTCAATATCAAGTACATACAATCAATATCATCAGAACGAATAAACGGTTTATAATTATTTGATAACAGAACGAAAGCATATACTCCATAAAATATTTAATTAATTACATTAAAACAGCTTAAATGATAGCTACCGTGAAACAAATATATATATAGGAGATTTATAAATTATCTGCGACAACGTATGCTTCGTTATATTTACAAATACTAGTTTTAATCCAAAGAGATTCACATACTTTCCCATCACCGGCTGGGTTGATAAATACAACATAATGCCCGCCATGATTATCGCCGCTGTGAACTAAGACCGCGTGTAACGTGTAGTCCGCATTTGTGGCTTCTTTGTTTTGTAAATATTTACCAAGACTTATTTTTTCGTAGAATTCAAACCTTCATAAAATAGTAAAGTTCAGTTGTACGTTCAATGGTCACCTTCAAAAGTAATTAATGCGTAGGAATGCGCAACCCTTACCTATCATTAAATTTCACAGAACAGTCTGTAACTGGGTCGTACTGAAATCGCATTAAATGTAAATGCAACACTGGTGGAAATGATGAAAAGATAACACCTTTTTCCGCTTCTTGCAATCCATTTTCTCCCGCATCATATTTATTATCGCCATCCAAGCTTTCAGTACTCACATAATCGTTAAAAGACTCATAAACTAAATAAAAATGAATTTGCTACATACATACTGTACATGATGAGGGAACATGAAATATCAATTTCATTAATGACTAGTGTCAAAATATTTGTGATACTTACTATTTTTCTTGCCCTTTATATTTAACTGTATATCATAGAAAGTTTCAACTCTAGTCGATTTGTAATCGATATTTTTACATTTGATAAATGACACCATTTTTCCTTCAAATAATTTTGGCACTGTACCTTCTACACATGTTCCTTTCATTTTACTTTCCAACTTATCTAAAAGCTAAAGTAGTTGTGAGTAAGCAATAAGAAATTATTATTAATTGCGATACATTATTGAAATCGATGTTTACGACCGTTAATTCTTATTATTTAGCATGTATCGTTAATCGTAAATCATTACTATCGCTTACCACTCGTAAAAATTCTTGTACATCATGTTGCATGAAAGAATCCAACGTTTCCCAACCGAAACTTTTCGTTAATTTCTTTGTACCTACTGGCTTATCAGAAAATTGCAATTCGTGAAAAACCCTTTGTAAAGCCAGAGCGACGCTCTTGCTTGAATCGTCGCTTTCTGTTGGCATTTTATAAACTGCTTTACGTAACTAGAAAATAAATTTTGTAAATATTTGAAGTTCTCCATCCACGAGGAATCGTTCATTAACATTGAATGTGCGTGTAGACATATGTTTTATCTTTTATGAACGTAGTCAGTCTACAATTACAATTTATAAATTGATTTCCTTCTATTATTCATTTACCGTTCACTCAAGTGTGAGGAAATTAATGCTTATTAGTACAAGTTAGAATTTGAATTTTTAAGATCCATTGACCTACCTGATTGGTAAAATACAAAGTTTGAAGTAACGAATTCATATAGCACGTAGCACCTTGATTTTTTAAACCTACATATCCTGTATGTTTTTTACTGTCCCAACTGACACCATGTGGAGCATCAGCAATCACATGAACCTATTTTTCAAAAATACACGTTAAAGAATTATTTACAAATAATTATATTATCAATCTTCTTGATTAAAATATATGATGCACTAACCTCAAGTGTAATAGAATCATCTTTAAGGAAACCTTTGTCAGGATCCAAGACATCCTGCCATGTCATAAAATGACTGAATCCCCAGTCATTTTCTTTACAATAGAAGAGATGTTGGATCTCTAAAATAAGAATTCAAGCTCTCAAATATACATATGTAAGAATGTGTACATAATTATGATTCAGAAGTTAAATAAAGGGAAATAATATTCTAGAAACCAGGTATTAATAATACACAGTATACTAACTTCTACTAAATGGTTCGTGTCCTTCCTGACAAGCAAGTAATCGGAGATCTGCAACTGCATAACAACTCCACGATGATTCACTTTCTCCATTACATTGTAAGAAAAAACCAAGTGATTTTTGTGGAGGTCTGTCTTGCGTCTGACTCGACCTTGGCATTACCATTATTTTCCATGGCAAATTGCGGACATAGCATGGTGGTGACAATTGAGTTTCTTTCATTTTAGAAAGATTTTCCACTGTATAGCGAAATGTCGCTTCCGACCTTGCTTCATCTGTTTAAAAATAAAAGAAACAATACGCTTTAGAATCAATTCCTTTCGATACTTTCAATAAATACATTGTGAGTCATGTTAATATCATGAAATTAACTTGTTCAATACAAATTCGAAATGTGTAAAAAACTTGCAAGAGTACATTTAGATAGTGCTTTTAATAGTTTTGATCAATATGAAGTGTCACATTAATTTATTGAAAGAGTATGTCCAGCAAATAAATTTGATGAAATTCATATTATTTCCTACCTTCCTCCATTTCTTGATCTTGGACTATACAAGCTAACTCTGACTCTCCGTTCATAGGACTAGTGTCATTGCCATCTCCTCCACCATCATTTGGTGTTTCTAAAAGGTTATGATAGCTATCACTATATATTTTATTACTTGGCTAAATTGTTAAGAGCTATGAGTTCCTCTAGGAAAAAATGCATTTATAACTTTGAAAGTATGTCACATGTACAAAATGATATAATAATGTTATTTCACGAATGTCAAACTTTGGATACACTTATACTTTGTACTTTTACATATTAGAAGTTTTACACATTACCAGAAGAATGTTGCGTGTCTTTGAGCTATAAATAACTAAGATGTGTCCATGAAACTAAATAATTTTACTGGATGTTTTATGACAATCATAAGAAATGGATTTACCAAAACATCCATATAGCAATTTATACAAATTCTTGGTGAAAAATGCTGTGTCAGATTCCAATCATTGTGACATAATTAAAAAACAAGTGAAGATGCATTTTAGTCAAATGAATTACTACAAATAAAATGTTAAACAAATACATGAAAGTTAACCGAATTCATTAAAATATTACTATTAATAGACGCAGAAAAAATAGTCAGTCAGCGCAGAATATAGTATATATAATAGTCTACTAAAGATACACTTAAATTTATATATTATATTTCTGTAACAATATAACTTTTACCATTTATTATATGTTACATTAGGAAAATATATCAGTTGCATACATGTATATTGCAAATTATAAGTTCTTCCCATTCTCTTGATACTTTGTATACAGACAAATTTTATTTTAATGGACGAATTGCGTAAACATCATTAATCGCAGTTAATAATATCAATTTAATATTCAATATTTGTAACTTTCTTCGAGAACACCTTTAACAAAAGTATGCAGGTAGTAGGTATGTATGTATGTATACAAACAAAAGTTCAGTATCGACGTACGGAGAGAATCGAATATACATACATATATTTCCCATAACCTTCAAACTGGATATCAAAACATATAAAAAAGAATATAAAAGCGGAAAAAATTTAAACCCGATAGAACGAACGAAATTGAAACGTACCTCCTTCTTGTGTGTCCATCTCTTCGACGACTTCATTGGCAACTGGTGCCAGGTTGAGCTGTTTAAGATTTTCCTGGTCGTTAACGTGGTTCATCGCAATGCCGATATTGATGGTCGTCTTGATTGCGTCGAGAACCTCGGAGGCGGCTTCCGCCGTCGAGGTTACTTCCGATGTTAATTTAATTGGCGTAACCGCGAACGAGGAGTTTCGACGAGAAATTGATTGTTGTCGTTCGACGGGCCGATGATTATTCTCGTCAGGGACGGAAGATTTTTGCTCGAATGAATCCTGTCGGTGCGATTGTTCGACCCGAAGCGCGACCGGGCTCGCGTCACTGCCGCGACTAGAGAGCGACGTCGTTTTACCACAAGACGACGACGACGACGACGACGACGAGGACGACGGCGACGACGACGACGACGATTGATATTTACTCGCGATGAGCCCAATTTCTGCGGTTATCAAGTGCCCCCGGTTTTCTGGGGGACGCCCACAGCATATATTCCACCCTTGTGTGATATCTTCGTAACTCTTACGTTGTCCCACCTCTTGTCGCCGCGGCTATTTCTTTTCTTATTCTTATAATAGCACTTCTCTCGCTCACACTTATCACTTTGTACTATTCGCTCACTCTCTCTGGACCGATCCGGAAAACGGTTTCCGCACCGCGGGACCGGCGCGTTACTAATCGCGAGACCTACGTACTTCTTGCAAACCTCAAGTCCAAACCGTTTCGATCTCAGTATATTCACCAACTTCTGCCGACGATCCCCCTTGCTAACAATTCTTCCCACCAGTGATTCCAGCTTTCTAACGTGAACACCGATACACTCAGCTGATGTTTTCACGGACGAAGACGGACGATCTGCTCGGATGATCGTCTATCCGGACCTCTTTTACGCGAAAATAAACAAAATGGCGACAAACCGCACTGTTCTACTGCCTCCCAGTCTGGTCTGTTCTGCATGCAATTCGTATAGGTCGCAGAGTTCTCATCATTGTTTAGATGTCGTACTCGATACTACTTTTCGACCGTACCACGCGGGAAATACGAATTATTTGCATGCAAGAGTGGCAATAAAATCTGCATATATATATTCATCTTTATTTTTCTCAGATTACATTTTATTGCATTTAACTTCCGACACTTACAAGATAAGTAAATCTGTTACTTTTTCATAAAAGTAATGGATTAATTAAAACATGGTATCATCAATTATTGTTGCTCACAT